GATGGATGGATGGATGGATGGATGGATGGATGGATGGATGGATGGATGGATGGATGGATGGATAGTGAGCTACTAGTCACAGTGACTATACAGGGTTAGAGAAAATATGCTTCGAAGTACCAGCTGCTGGGGAATCAGAGAGGACTTGCTGGCAGCTGGTCAGCTACTGCGCGAAACCGGCTGGAGAAGGAGGCCAAGTCTTTGTTTTAACACAACTGGGGTCCTGGGTTCTTAACAGAGCTCATTCAAAAGCAGAGTTGTAAAGAGTGGATCCAAAAGTGACCAGTTCTAGCATTCTAGAAAAAGGGAGGAACTTGGCCCAAATTGGTGTTCGTGAAGGATGGACCACCCCACCCCACGTGATACGCTCTGCAGCGGAACCTGTGGAGCGAGGAGACGAGATTTCGCCTAAACATTAGAAAGAACCTCTTGGCGGCCGGAGCCATTTGAGAGTGGAAGGGACACCCTCAAGGGAGGGCACCGGACTGGCCTTCCCTGGAGGTTTCTAAACAGGGTCGCTTCAGCTGTGGGTTTCCAACATCCTTCCTTTTCCACAGTTCTATAGCCAGTGAAAAAATTATTGTGTTCGGTAGAAACTCCCAGAATGCTCCAGGCAGAATGGGCCATGGGATGGCTGGGGAGTCTGGATGTTGTAGTCCAAAAAGGGGAGTATTGCCAAGCTTTGGCTCCTAAATCGAGCTGGCCCATGACTTTGTGCTGCCTGAGACAAAGGACAAAAGGACACCCCTCTCGCCTGGGCCAGGAACAATGATAAATGAGGTGACGCATCCTCTAGCGCAGCTAAGGGCATCAGGATAAGTGAGGGAGCCCAGACAAGTCAGGCAGCATGCAACTTTTTGTCCCTCGATAGAGCGGGGAGGCTGATGGTGGAGCCAGCTCCGTTGAGGCACAGCTTCAAGAAGAAAACCAAGACACTTACCGTCCCAAGCATCGAACATGTCACTGATAAAATAATCAATGAATGATATCTGAGATTTTGGAATGCTACAGGTATTCCTGTCAAACACGGGCATGACCACAGGCAGTCCTTGTCTCTTCTCCTCGTCCGTCTGCAAAGAAAACAATTTCACTGTCATTCTATCTCTTACTGTTCATCTGCTTTATTTATAGGCTCATCAGCTGTGCTGCCAGCTAACAAGTTATCACCAGAAGCGTTCTTCAGAAAGCTGAGGCCCCCCTCCTGCGCCCCCCCCCAGCCTTGATCACATCATCATTTGGATGAAACAACACCTGCCAGCTGCCTCTCACCCACCTGGGCAAAGTATTCCTCGGAGATGCGACCCGCCCACTCGATACACTGATCCAGAGGCCGGCATGGGTTGGACACGTCAGCGCACTTGATCAGCATCCGTTTGATCAGGATTCTGTTTTCAGGAGACGTGAGAACGTTTTTCATGGAATCGCCATCTCCATTGCCACCCTTTTCAGAGAAAATTAAAAGTTTGCAAATGTGAATTGCCATCGTCTTTCATCTACGCAGGAACCGCTAAAATGCACCATCCACCAAGTGATCCTAAAGGAGTATAAAGAGAGGCCAAATCTACTTCGAAATAGTTTGGAACAGTTTAACCCTTCAAAGAAAACAGAATACAGGAAATTGGGAGACCAAGAGAACCCACAAAGTGCCAGATAATAACAACCTTAGGAGTGCAAAGCTGGAAGGGACCCCATGGGATCATCAAGTCTAACCTCTGTCAAGGAGGCCCAGTGGGGAATCGAACTCCCAACCTCTGGCTCTGCAGCCAGAGACCTAAACCACGGAACTATCCAGCAGTAGGTTGCAATGAATTGCCAAGTTTCAGTTTGGTACCAAAGCAAAGGGCCATGTCAGCACTCAAGTTTCCAGGTGGACAGCATTCCGCAATCCAGGTGCGTGAGAGGGCCGACCCCTGAGAAACCTGCAGGGTACTGGACTCGAATCTTTCCCACATAGTGTCCTGGCTTAGGTAGGTAGGTAGGTAGGTAGGTAGGTAGGTAGGTAGGTAGGTAGGTAGGTAGGTAGGTAGGTAGGTAGGTAGGTAGGTAGGTAGGTAGGTAGGTAGGTAGGTAGGTAGGTAGGTAGGTAGGTAGGTAGGTAGGTAGGTAGGTAGGTAGGTAGGTAGGTAGGTAGGTTGGTTGGTTGGTTGGTTGGTTGGTTGGTTGGTTGGTTGGTTGGTTGGTTTGTGTTGTGTGTGTGTATGTATGTGTACGCATGCATGCGTGCAAATATATGACTGTCGCAGCTGCTTTCTATGGACTTCGAAAAACCAGAAGGCATCATTTATATATGAAGATCAAATGGAATAGAGACAAGGAGATACAGCGTATGCCATTAGGGACATTTCTCTAAGTTTCCACAATACCTTTTCTGATGTAAACATTTTAACTGATGATTGTTAGAAGCCGGCAGTTTGTGTATTAAATACTACACATTTTAAAACCATGAATTGGAATAGTTAAAGAATGGATATTTTTTTTTCTCTCTCTCTCTCTCCACTGTTTCCCATGCATGCTTAAACAGGCAAAGTGTAATTTCAAATGGCACTAATGAGTAGTGGAGGCAGCTGCTCTTGTTTAATTAAACCATTGCGAAAAAGAAAAGGGAAAAAAAAAGCTTTGATCCTGTACGGCAGAACCCAGACAGTCAGTCTGGAGTCCAAATTCCACCCTTTTGCTCAGCATCACCATTTGATCATATTTCCAAATGGTTGCCTCAAAGGAGTCCCTATTGTTCGCCAAGGACCAACTGCTGGGACGACCAAACGGATCTGGTGCTTCAGCTCTTGTTTCCTTGGCTTCAGAATACTTGGGCCTGATCCAAAATTATACTAAATAAATGGGAAGATCTCAGGGGTGTCTCAAAGAAAGGCCTTTGTAAAAAGACGCAAAACCAGCCACCTCCTGCACAGGCTTGGAGAAAGCAATCCTCTCACTCTGCTTTGCAAAAGTAAACAACATGCTCGAGGGTCGTGCAGAGAACCTGAAACCTCAGGCCCTCCCGGCTGTGTGTGTGTGTGTGAGTCCTTCAGCACAACCCATCCATTTCCAATCCAAAGAAGAGAAAGGGCTCTTAAATTGTCAAACCACAACAAAACCAAAGAGAAACTGGCGGGACCCTTGTTAGCAGAAGCCAAACCTCAGTCCTCACAAACCTCCAGAAGTTTAAAAGGGTTCCCTCGGCTGCTTTGGGGAAGGGCAGATGAATCGATGCGTAGAGGAATTCGCCATGCGAGAGAGATGCAAAGATGGGCCATAAATGCCCATAAATCTTTAAGACAAGATGCACAGCAAGAGAAGTACAGTAGCTTACTCAGTTTTTAGATTTCTGTTTTAGCATTTACAGCGTATACAGTTTTATATCATTTTGATTTGCTTCAAACAGTTGTGAATTGTTATTTTACTGTTAATTTTTTTTCTACAGTTGCTTTATTGCCTGTAGTGTGTGCCATGATCTTTGAATATTCATAGTTGTGATCTCCTACCACCTCACTTCCAACTTCTGGTGACCCTATGAATTAATGACCTCCAAGGGTCCTACCGTGAACAGCCCTCTCCAGTCCTGCAAAACTAGACAGTGGATTCCTTTAACTGAGTCTGTCTCGTGTATGTTCGGTCTTCCTTTTTTAATTACAGCCCTACTAGTACTGTCTTTTCTAGTGAAAGGCCCAAAATATAACCGTTTTAAGTTTAATCATTTTAAAGCCCCAATAAATTTAGTGTCCAATCAGTGACATGAACCCAGATTTCCCTGCTGAAAGTTCAAGAAATAGGTCCAAATGTGGAAGAGCTGTTACCAAACAATGAAAACCCTTCTCCCAAAATGTATTCTTCTCCTGATCAAGATCCCCCGAACCATTCTTCGCTGACCCCCAGATAAACGTCTAACCACAACTTTTATGACCCTCCACTTCTTGGAAGGCTCTCTTACCCCATTCTCTTCAAGGGCAGCCAACGGCTTGTTGATGCTGTTGACGAACTTGTTGACGTGCTCAAAATGCTTGGTCATTTCGGTGGCCAGGACCATGTCGATAATGGCTTGACGAAGGGTCCGATACTCGTTCCTGCATAAAGAAAAGGGGACAGGGCAAAAGACACAGAAGAAGTCACTCCAGGACTGGCCTTCCTGTTAAACAAATGGGGGAGATCTCCAATTTTTAAGGCACCCCTCTTCATTTTTCAAGCAAGTGCTGTCGTTTTGAGGACATGAATCAACCCCCAACACCAGCAGTGTGTCTATAACACCTACATCTCCTCCCCACTGCCACAGACTGGACACCATCATAGCAATGTTGACTCTAGAGGTGACAACACTGAACCATCATGTCCATAAAAACCAGCCCTTCAGGTTTTTCAGGCAGGAATTTCTTCTCCTTCCTTCTTTTTCCATTTATGTAACAAACAATCAGCTGTTACAATCTGAGCTTTCTGTTCCTCTTTACATGACTCTGGAACTCCAGCATTCTGCATTGTATATGTTTTACAATTTCTTGGACTTTACTCATTCGCCGTAGTGCTTCTTTGATCATCACCTTCATAGTCCAATAAATTCTTAGTGTCCTTCAGTAAGCAAATGTGCCCCTGACTCACCAGGAACCTTTATGGATAACAATGGAAAGTGGTCAAAGCAAGCCACCATATTCCTGACTTTCAGGGAGCTACAGGGAGCTATCATGGTCAACCCAGCCAGAAGTGGGTCTAAGCCGAAATAAGGGTATGGCTTTCAGAAAAAGACTAGAGGTAATGTGTTTTCCCTTCGGTCCAGGCAGAGAACATAAAAACAGTTCCTGCATCTCTTGCATTGGGGAACTGAGACCTTACCTCGCTATTGTGAGGAAGTTGTTTTTATTTTAATAATCTGTTTTCTCAAAGAAAGAAAAATACCTGGTGTTTTGCAATAGGAAGTGGTTAATAACGGCAGCCTTTGTGTACGAACCAGCTCTACTCTACCACTGTTTTATGGGAGGACCGCATCACGCCAATGTGCTAAATGTACCTGTCAGCCCAGAAAACTAGATGGTCCATAAATTATGATCCAGAAATTATCTCTCTCTCTCTCCAGTGCCATTCCGCCCTGTTAATTTCCCAAGTATTTTAAATAATCATTATCATTACCACAATTATAACCAGAGCTATGACCTTAATCATAACCGTGTCACCTGAAAACACCCAAGAGACTTTCAACTCGCACATCTCCCATACTGCCCTTTAGAGAAACTCACCGCTCCATGTTTTTAAAAATGTTGCATTTGTCGTCCCGCGTGGTGATCTGAAAAGCCAGAGCGGCATGGTGGCTCTCCAACACAGCAGTGTCGTTATACAAAATGGCAAGCTCGCTCCCTGCATTGCATAGGAAGGAGTTGGTTCGACCCGGGTGATCCACGTCATGAACTGTGGCTGCGATCAGAGCAGCGACTTCATCAATAGGATCCAAACTTTCCTGAGAAGAAAGAAGGGGAAGGAGTCAACCAAAGGGAATCATTAAAAGAATCCCCACACACACACTCCCAAATAGCCCTTCAGGTCGAAGCATTGAAGGGCATGCCTAACATTTAGGGTGCAGAATCCCCTCCTCTCTTTCATTCTCAATGGAAGGAGTCAACCCAGGGGAATCATTAAAAGAATTCCCCCCCACTCTCCCAAATAGCCCTTCAGGTCAAAGCATTGAAGGGCATGGCTAACATTTAGGGCGCAGAATCCCCTCCTCTCTTTCATTCTCAATAAAATAAATTTTACAGCATGAGCACAAATGGGTGGTTCAGCTGCCAGCTCAACAGATGTTCTGGGGTTCCCCATTCCCTAAAGAGCTTGTCTTGCTTATAACTTTTTTTTAAAAGGGATCTAAAGAAGGTATTACCCGACCCAGAATTTTTTTTCACAAGAGAGATATATAAGCAGGCTTGGGCATAAACCCCAAGGTCTACAGACATACAACCATGTTTTAAACTGAAAAAACAACAACAAAGACAACCTAATGAGGTAGCAGGAGTGGAAATCCTGGCTGGCTGGTACAGTGGGAGATGCAAAAAATTAAAAATTAAAAAAAGACAGGGCCAGGGAAGTAAGGATGCCATGGAATCATTTGGAAAGGAGCATGGCCAGCTGGGTCAAAACCTGGCATACCTGCAAGTCTGCAAAAAAACAGGCCACCCTGGGCTAGGCAGACCAACCGTTTGACCCCATGTTAAGGCATTTCCCTCGATGCCCCTTTCCTGCTGGGTCTCTCGCGCAAAGGGGTCACTGACCTTTACTCTCTCCTTGGAAAGGAAATAGGCTGTGGCGTGCAGGACATCGGCTGAGTGGGTCGAGTTATGATACGAATTGGAGGAGTGATAATTGGCTTCGATGACTTGCAGCCACGACCGCAGCGTTGACTCCGAGCAACCGAGGAACTCACAGATCCGGAAGCGGGCAAACATTTTGAGACCAAGATAAACTAAAGGCCTGGAGAGGGATCGGGAATTATAAGAAATAACAACACACGAATGAGATGGAGCTGTGTGGCGAGCATAACATACAGACCCTTGCTGATTTGCATTGGGACACATAGGGTTATGAGCCCTTTAATCTCCTGGAAACAATAATCGTAGAACGGCAGAGCTGGAAGGGACGCCGCGGATCATGGAGTCCAGCCCCTGTCCAGGAGGCACACAGTGGGGGAATCGAACTCCCAACCTCTGGCTCCACAGACAGAGACCTAAACCACAGAGCCCTCCAACAGTGCTATACAGAAGATCATGAGGCCCTGATGAGTGGATAAGTGTTTTATAGTTGTTGCAGGTTGCCTCTTTGTGGCCAGTAACACAAGCAGACTGATATCTTCCACGCAGAATGAATACAGTGCTTCTCAGCTTCTGTTTATCTTGGATTTTTTTGGGGGGGGGGAGGAACCGGGGAACATGGGTGCCAACAAACCTTTTGTGGGTTGCTGCTTCCAGTTCAAAGATGTTGAAGTCCCAGTATTCCTCGTTCTCCATGGCTTGTGCTATCCTCGGTGGTATATCGTTAAGGGAGATGGGTGAGATTAAACTACCTGGAGCCTGATGTGTTTCTGTAAGATGTCAATAGAAATAAGGAGAAGGATCAGAACCCACCCATTGGCCTTTGCCACCATCCAGGGGAACCAGGCAGGCGAGGGAGTCGCCCTTCCTTCCTTTCCAGAAAGAAGGAATATCTCAGGAAAGCAAACCTAGCCTTTATTAATCAGAATAAAAAGCAGCTGGTAGAAAGGATGCTCAAGTGTCCGAGGAAAGAATGGCAGGATGAACATGGAAGTATCAAATCAAAGGAAGAGATACTGTGGACCCATCCAGAGACTCAAGGGTGTGTATGCGTCGTTTTGTGGTGTGTGGGTTTTTTTTTAGCACGGCCACAAAATGTGCAGTTCAAAAAAAGATTGTGCAGTTGGATGAATAGAGTAAAAACTAGACACAGTTATGTCCCCATATTTATCAAGAACTTAAAACAACAAGGGTGTGTTACATAACGCAATTTATGTAAGGATTACAAAAGGCTTGGTTTCCATCCTTAAATCAAGCTGCCTAAATTATCATATCAGAAGGACTTCTCTCTCTCTCTCTCTGTTTGAGGCTGGAATCTTCTCTTCTTATCCGAATCAATATTGAAAGTCTGCAGCCACCCTTTGAGAGCAGCACCATGGGCATGAAAGCCAGCCCTCACTCAGCCTGGAGATGTGCATTTGGCTTTTCTGGTGGTGGGGTGGACTGACAAGGCATTTGTGCAGCTGGAAAAGCTGCTTTAAAAAAAAACCAAAAAAAACTGTAAGTACTGTAAGATGGAGGTGCAGGCATCCAGTTCAAAGGCGCCTGCAAAGATTTCTGAATGTCAAACAGTTGTACCTGCATTTTTATTCCCCTCCCCATTGTATCACATCTGTTTGATCTCTGCATTTGCAGGCAGAGCTATCATCTGTGAATCCCCGCACAGCACTTATTTTTAAATCACACATCAGCAACAGTAGGTCCTTTGTAATAAGCCGATCATCTGTATGACAGCTTCTCCGTTGCTACATGTTGCAGTAATTATATGAAATTATACAGATCCCTTTGGAAGAAAAATCTTTGGGGTTCAGCTGCATCCAGCTGTAAGCAGGAGAAAGCCACTGCCTCCAACTGCAGCTGAAGAAAAGGTATACTTACGTTTCGCTGACAATATATATTCATTCCCTGATAATCTCCGTAGGCCATCCTAAGCAAGAAAGGACAGAAATAAGAAGCAGGCCATAACCAAGATATGCATTTTATATTTTGAAATGGCCACATGGCTCACCCCTTTTATTTTAATGAGATGTGTTTTATATTTGTTAGCTGCCCTGAATGTTTAAGAGAAAGGGCAGGATAGAAAGAAAAGAAATAGATGTGCAAATAAATATCATCATCATTGTCCTGAGTGTTCCAAATGTATAGCAGAAACAGCTGTTCAGAACCTTAACCAGAATGCATAACGCCGACTTTTCTGGCTTAATAGCCCATGATTCACTGGTCCTGCAAGAGGCGAAATAGTCATCATTTGGTTTGTAGATACCATTCAATGGGCTGGGGGGACTCAATAAGGCTTCAAACGATCTAGCAACTGGTTATTGACAGAGTGTCACCTTCTACCTGTCCCTCTCTCACACACGCCCCATCTATTTAAAACTCCATGAGGAAGTATCAGCTATACTAGATTGCTTCAAGGTCTAAGGCACACTTTTTGGTCTGGTTCCTTGCAGATGTGCCCTCCAGATGTTTCATTCTGTCCCTCTAATTTAAGTCACAGCATTCCAGATATCTGGTCTCTTGGCCAAGCAAACTTGGCGAATACTTTGTTTCACTTATTTAAAATTCGGCAAGTGAAAACACCCCACGGTTTTAGAGAGCATTTTTCTTCGACCATAAATGATCCTGATTTTAACGGCTGGAGACAAGCTTGACTTGTTTTGACTGACTGAACGCTTATTTAAAATTCGGCAAGTGAAAACACAAGCTTGACTTGTTTTGACTGACTGAACTGTTGTTTAGTTGCATTTTATGCTATGGGCCTCAAGGGAGAGGCAGACCATGAATGTGGGTGGTGTGGGGGGACAAAAACATAAACAGATTTCCCATTCAAGACAGGAATCCTGCAAACGCTTTATTTAAAAGAAGGATGACTTTCTGCAGAAAAAGCAAGACACTGAATTCTGAGAGCATTCTGTGGCTTAACGGCACAGGCTCAAGATGCCAATTTATCAGGTGAACGGACAACAAATGTATTGGCCAACCCTGTTGCACAGTTAGGCAAAAGACAGTCAATTAATCAAGAAATCTCTGTACAGTACTTGTTATCTGCTACATACTGTATTGGGTGACTGTTATGCAAAAGACAGTCAATTAATCAAGAAATATCTGTACTCGTTATCTGCTACATACTGTATTGGGTGACTCAGCGTGCAACAGATCATGCCTATAAATGGGTTGTGTTCCCACCCGCTCATTCTGCTCGTGAGCTTCCATCAATACCTGGTTGGCTTGGCCACCGTGGGCACAGAAGCCGTGACTTAAGAGAGTCTTCTGGTTTTACCCAAAACAACCCTTAAGCTGTTGCAGAACTCCTGTGTTAAGGTCATGATAAAGTAAAGCAAAAGGCAATAACTGTACCATGTCTGCATTTGACAGCTATTTTAAGAACGATAAATCAATTCGTCTGGAGTGTGGGAAGACCAAAGGCTAAAACCAGGTGAGATTTCCTTTCAACGCAAAGCTGTGAAACAAACTATTCAAGACACCTTTACGGAATCAAAAGTGGGCAGCCTGAAATCTAATTCACTCTCACAAGCGAGTGTTTCTTTAGCTCTTGAACCTGGCTGGTCATCTGGCAGAGGCTTCATTGATGCAAGATCCCTGCCTTTAGCAGCAGGATGGATGAAAAGACCTTGGAGGTTCTCCCTCCAACTTTTGCGTTCTCTCAGGTTCCTACTTACTGTCATCAAACCTCCCACAAGGTCGCTGGTATGGGGGTCTTCATCTTTTGTCCCAAGCTGTGGAGAATACAGCTCTGTGGTCCTCAGAATCTCAAGCACTCGATCTAAAGCTTCAGCAACTGGCATGGGGCTGCTTTCTTGTGCTGCATTGATGATATTTATTACCTAAGTTGAAGAAAGAAGGAAACCTGAACATCTTTAGCCTTTCTCCTCTCCTCTCCCCACGAGCACACCTAGGAAAAATACCTATTTTGGGGGGGTAGCATCCTGCCCAGGGTTCGTATGGCCACATTTTCAATCAGAAAGAGAGCCAAGCTACTGGACAGCGCTTGGAAAATATTCCATTTGAAGGAGAACTTTCTAGAGCAACAGTGGGCATTAAAAGAAGAACCAGAAATTTAAAATACTTGCTCAGTCATTGAAACAGAAGTTCATCCAAGTGCGGCTTGTGCTCTGAAGAAGAACAGTGCTTCACCTCAAAATATCAGAGTGACTATCTCTGGGGTACCCCACCCCAGCCGCCTCCCAGTTGTATACTCTGGCTAATCAAGACTTGGACGTGGTAGGAAACTGTGGTTAGTTTAAACCAAAAAGAACATTTTGTTTACTAGCTCACAGACTGTGAGACTTACAGAAAGAAGCAAATGGGACATTATCTTGTGGAGGCTCGTGAGAACAAAGGAGAACTATAGTTTAACAATGGGGTGGGGCGGAATCAAAATTCTTAGAAAACAACAGTGGTTGAACTGCAAGAAAGACCAATCAAACCGTCTTACCTTGGTAATAGGTGCTTCGATAGTCATGGAATGTATCCTAGCCATTGACGAATGCCTTCTTTGCGAACTACCTATCCAGGGAGAAAAAAAAATTAAATAGTAAAAGGAATTCAACCAGTAAACAGATTATGCGCACTAATCTGAATTGCCATCATGCAACCTACATCTCGTGTCATTAGACATGAAGGAGACTGTGGATTTCTTGCAATTAGCTGATTTTTTTTTCCTCCTACAACATGATTTCCTCAGAAATATGTTGCCTCTGCAATTTGACTTGCAAATAAAGCCCGTTTACCTTGCCAGTGACCAATCACAGAGCAAAGCATGCTAAATGCTAGAGACAAAAGTGAAGCAAAGCACATACTTTTTTTCAGCACCCCTTCTAAATATGTGCTCAGCATGTTGCCTTAGTCTGAACCCCGAACTCTTCACCTGCCTTCTTAAACAATCCCGTCCAAGAGAGCCAGTACACTGGAGATGATTTCAGAGGGGGAGGGCGCCACAACTGAGGTCTACAGCCTGCCCCTCTACACGAAACACCACCAGTTTCTCTTAATGCTAAGAACAAAACCGATGTACTCTGTGCGTATCCTAATCTGGCCTTAATAATCATCACAATAGTAATCTGCAGTTTAAAGAATCAAGAGAACAGGGAGGAAATGCAGAACTTAAAGAGCCTACTGGATCCTGAAACACAATTTTTTTAGAGCAATGAAACAACGTACCATCACTTCCCCGAGAAGTGGTTGATCGGACATCCAAAGAGCCTTTCCTACGATCTTTGTGCCTGGAGTTCTGGATATCTACAGAGACAGGGAAGTTAACATATTTTTTCTTACGAGAAAGACTTCCTATTCTGAAAGTGAGACAGCCTTGTCGAGAGCAACCTCTGGACGCGAGAACTTCTCTTAACTACATCTCTGATCACATTCTGTCAACAGATGAAGCTGTTTTTACTCCACCCGGCCCTCATCCTTGTTCTAAGGACCATACTTTTTGTCACTCAACAGACTGCATTTTCATCAATGAGCCCTTCTGGTTGATTGTATCCATACGCTACCTCATGCTCTCCCACCCTGGCCCCTTGAAATGGGCTAGACTACAATCTCCATCATCCCCAGACAGAACAGCAGCCATTACTGGTTGGGAGGGGGTGATCCAAAGCTCAACACATAGGCGAGTTACTAGCCTGCAGAAGGCTGTGTGAACATTATTTTGAATTTTATTTTATTCTATTTGTATTAATATTCACACATGAAACCTAGACTATTTAGGAAACCATATCGTAGTGAACTTGAAACTGCCTTCTCCTGCGGACCCGTCGCAACAGTCAAGGCTGGCCTGATTCCAGGCAGTTCTGAAACACACCTTCCCGGGGGCCAACAGTTCTGCATTTATTTAGCCTTCCTTGCGTTGCAAATACCATTGCTTTCCTTGGGCTGCACCATCGGTGGGGGAGGCCGGCCCAACCCCACTCCTGTCTTCTCCACTTCCTGACTAGGAGAGGGGCTGCAGGAGAGGAGGCGGCACGGCGTGAGGAGCGAAAGGCCAGCCCCACCCTCCGGACGAACCCAGATTACTGGCAGCAAAGAAGCCCAGGTGGGAGCAGATGCTGTGGCCCAGCCATCACTGCTGTCTTCCCCAGCACACCCAACGTTAGGGCCCAAATCCCTGTAACCCAGTGACTGCTGCCTTTGAGTCAAGAAGAAAGAGGATTGTGTATTTTTGTGCACACTTTCTGGGGGGGGGGTGTTCATTGCATTTTTAACTTGTTTTCCTGTTTTAATTGCATTTACTTTTGTATTGGTGACTCGTGTGTGTGTGTGTGTGTGTGTGTGTGTGTGTGTGTACTTTTGATTTTGTTTTAGGTGACACTGTATGCACTTTTCTGCTTTTTTCCAGGCAGACATGCATCAAACGAAATAAGATATAAAATTTTTGGTCACGTCTCTCAACCAGTTTGAATATCCTATTTCAAAAAGGCCCTTGAGGGCATTTTAATAATAGAGACGCAACGTCAAATGCTGTACATGAAGAGATGGCGACAGGCCTAAAATAGAATTGTAACCTTTTTTTTTTTTTCCAAAAACAAAACTCGCAGTGTGTGTGTTACCTGTTTGGGATTCAGCCTGAACACGGTCGCAGATTCGTTCGGCCTGCGAAGGAGAGAAAAATATAAAATCAACCAAAAGGCAGATGGAGTATTTCTTTCCCAGTTCTAGCAAAGTTGTAGCATTTTCTCTGCTTACCTTACTGATGTCATTACAAGGTCTACTAAGGGACACATAGTGTCTAATTTTTCTGTGGGGGGAAAAGAAATGAATAATAACATACTTTTGTCTACTCAAAATTAAACTCAGACTTAACTCTTTAAAATAAAACCTTCCCTTCCCTGCTAAAAAGTTCATACTCTTCCAGTGGATTGCACCAGAATTTAGAAAGCACAGCATTTACACCAACATGTTAATATTAAACAGTTAAAGGAAATTAAACATTTAGGAGAAATATATACAAAATTATTTTTTCTACAAGAATGGTTATTCATGCATTATTAATGCTACATTTTTTAAAAAAACATCACTTATTCCCTGTTAGTAACAAAATAAATGGAAGACATTGTTACTTTTAATATATATATTGGCATTTAATGATTAAAATAATTCATTTTTAAATTGTGGCTGAAAGAATTAGAGGTAAAAAAAATAATAATTTCTAATGAATTATTTGCAATCTCTGAATTACTTCTGGGGCCTTCTGGAACTCAGCCCTTGCCAGTTGTGCTTTCACTACAATGTCCATCCTCCTCCTCAACCGGATGGCCAAGGGTGAGATTTTGGGCTCAGGCAACAAGTTGGTTTGAACACACGTGGCAACTATGGGTGTGAAACTTAACATCTGCCTGCCTGCCTCTCTGTAACAAGATGACTTTTGAATCCCGTTGTCTTTGCATCGTTTTCTTTTTTGCAGAAGAAAACACTACAGCAAAAAGTTTTTTAAAAAATACCGGTATTGTATCTTCAATAAAAATCCTTTAAGTGGTCTTTCTTCTTCACAAATGTTTCTGCTTCAGCCAGTGAGACCACACCAGTTTAAGTGAAAACCTTCAAACTAAAAAAAGGTCGAACTGGGAAGCCGATCTTCCCACGTAATACCTTTGCTACTTTTATGACGCACTCGTAAAAACTAGCTCTTGAGCTCTTGCACAGCTCTATGGCTTGGTCTGCAGATTGTTCATAAACCTGCAATGCACCCTTGCCGTGAGGCCTCTCGCTGCTGACCTCTCCCACAGGACCGGGGTACAATCCTCACTTTGCATGCTAAAAGTCCACCGTTTGAACTTTGGTTCTGAGGAGCTCAGGGTAATAATGAGCTTTGCAGGTAAAAGGTTCAGTGTTTGAACCCTGGTCAAAGGAGAGCCAGACAGATCTGGGTAAACAGTTGGCCTGAGATAGGGGATGACTGCTGTCGACGGTGCAGGGATTCTGATTCAGCAAAAAAAAAAATGCAGCATATAGCCAGAACCAGTCCTCTTTCTGTCTCGTGGAAATAAGTAGCTTGCAAGTGGATATAAATGCAAATGCTTTTTAACAGGGCTTTGGGCTCTGTGGGGCTGGGGAGGTGGGGAAGCAAAGGAAATGGATGTCTAGCAGAATGCAATTAAGTAAAACCTAGTAGACCGCAATAAAATTTTGCAGCGCAAGATGCTTTTTCGTGTGGATTCTGGGAAACCTATTCTGTTTCTCTTCCCTTCTACTTCTTGGTTTTCTTCCTCAAGAGTAATTCAGTATTCTGTGCCCAAAGAGCACACCCAGTCTTCGCTGGGCTCTCTTAGGGTCCCCACTCACTTTTATCCCAAAAGATTTGCCATACTTCTACAATTCAGCTTGCTGATCCTTCCCTCTTCTGCTTGGATGTGACTGTCTTGGTAACATAAAGACTAGCACCTGGGGAACCGAGATAGCTGGAGGCATTCAAGGGAAAACTGGACAACCTTCCGTCAGATCTGCTTTGATTTGAATTCCTGCATCGATCAGGGGGCTGGACTTGATGGCCTTAGAGGCCCCTTCCAATCCCATTGTTCTACAAGTCTATGATTCTATGTACAGGTCATGTATTTCCAATTCAGACTCTCTACACATTACAAAATGTCATGCACTCATTTTATTAATTGAATTTAATTTATGTTATGGTATGCATGATTAGGGAATAATGGGCAAGAAGAATTTGGAGATTAGGAAGAGATGAGTACCAAAGGTGAGAAAACAGAATCTGGAGAGCATGATAAGAAAACCCCACTGTATCAGTGTAAGCAGCAACCCAAAAATATAGGGCTGTGTGTTTTTTAAGTCACATTTTTCAGCTCTAGCTGGAATTACTGGTTTGGATGACCACTTCCAGAGCCCCTCAGCCAGCATGGCCTGTAGATGTGTTGGCCTGGGGAGTTGGTAAGCTGCAGTCCAAAAATAGAACATTCCCCCAAATTCTGATTCTCAGGCAGAAGCTTTTGTCATAAGGACTATTTTGTTTTTCAGTGGTTCAAATCTTCAGTATTCCTGAACTCTTACTTGGTTGCAAGCTACTCAAATAAATATAACCAAGTTTGTTTGTCTGACAATGTAGTCTACACAAGGTCATACACGGAGGCCAATGTTTCGATTTTCAGGCTTACCCTCCCTGCCCAATCACAGGTATGATCTTCACATTCTGCTGGATGTTCTCTCCATTCTTCTTTTTGGTATAATATGTTCCTTGCCATTCCTGCAGATGAAATTCAATGTCAAGGAAGAGCAACATTCTACATTAGCAGCGCGCCGGCTATCCTTAAAGCATCTCCTCTTTGAATTGAAGGCTAAATTCCCACACATTTCACAAGTTCTTAACATATATCTAACATGATGTTTTCCATTTATTTCTTTTCTGGAGGCTGCCTGTTTTATCAGAGATTCCTTCTTTGGGTTTTTTCCACAACACAGTGATTTATGCTTGAGATCATGCACACATGTGCTATGTGGACACAGAAACATGTTACACAGCAAAGAAGCCAGGGTGTTGATAGATAAAATATATTTGCTGCTATTTGCTCTGTGACCTGTGCATTTTCAGCATGAACGACATACCCCTTAGGTAAGTTCACAAGCTATGCCCAACTATCTTACGGTGTGTGAAGTAGCACAATGCCAGCTAGGATATGGGATTGTCCTTTTTTAAGAAATGTAACTTATTTTTACACTAGATCAAAGGGGACAGCACACATATTGCTATCCTCACCATCATCCTTATCACTCACTACTTCAGTTCAAAGAAGGCGTTCTAGTTGGAGCCATACATGATAGAAAGGACCCAGAACCAATAATAACAATTTTAAAAACACGACAATGTAAGTTTTCTGTTTCGGCACACACACACACAAAAAAAACCCAACGCTGTCATTTTAGCCTTTGTGCCTCTCACATATCTGAGCGCACTCCTGGGAACACAGTGGCGCTGATGTTCACGGCCAGATGCAAATGCTAACCAAATGCATTTCCTTTCCAGATCAGGGCTTTGACAGATCTACAAACCATGAGTTGTGCCTCTTTGCCATCGGCTCCTGCATGCATTAACGCCCAAGAGATGAGTCGCTCTTGTGATTCATGGCAACCTCTTCAACTAAGGTCACATCAGCGTCCTGATGCTTGTTAATTTGGCATCCTACATCATCACGCCTGACTCACACCGGGGAGGGGGTGCACAGGCATGCAGTGACGTACGCATCTCCTTCGAGGGGGCAATGGCATCACTCCCTTTCGGGCCAGGGTTCGGATGACGATTTTTTTTTCCCTTCATGGTGCTGCTCTTTGCCATGAGAGCCACAGCAAGTCATGAGGAGAAACCACAGGTACAGATCTGGCTGCAAAAAGATTTCAGGGGGATCTTTCCCCTTGCATGGGGAAGCCAGTCATGACGGAAGCGGCAGGACAGCTTGTTTAAGATCATGGCTGGCTGAGCTGCTGGAACGTTGCAAGCCCTTGGAGGATTTCCCAATTTAGCGGCTGCCATGCTCCTGTTTTGCTTCTGTGCCTCTCTCTGTAGATCCATGGGCTCTACAAAGAAGGCTGGAAATATTAAGAGAGGTGGTGCCAGTCAGAGCAGATAATACAGAACTAGATGGATCAAGAGACTGATTCTGGAGAAAGCAGCGTCCCATGGCCTGGACTGACCAGCCAAGGGGCCAATCCGCCGGCCACTCTAGGCAGGATTAGCTCATGAGCAGAAATGCGAAGGAGAGTTTTCCTTCCTCTCCATTGCCAGGGAATATACTATATTTACCAAAGCCACAGGCCCTCAAGACACCTCAGTTTTGCAACTTCATAAACTTTAGAAGCAAAATAATATTAGCAGCAATTTAGACATTCTTCTAGGCAGAAATAGGAAAGACGCAGAAGCTCTGCGTTATTTCTAGCCTGTGTGTTCTACTCATCTGCTGGTGATCCCAGAGCAGTTCCCCCACTGCATTTTTCCAAGGTAGGCTTAGGCAGAAAAATCACAGTTTGACAGAAGCTTCCTTGCTCAGCCTTGTAACTGAGCTGAATTCAACCATTGGCTCAATGTTAATCTTTAACAGACATAAAATATGGGAAAATATATGAAAAAAATTTAAAAAAAGGTTTACCTTTTCTATCTTGATGCAAGAATTAATAGTGTCAAGGAAATCTGCTTTTTTTTCATTTATAGGCACTTCTGTTAGTTCCTTTCCTATTAATTCACCTTTTTGATAGCCCATCACTACTTCAAACGCAGGGTTCACGTACTGTGTAATTTTGAAGGGAAAAAAAAGAGGCACTCCAGTGAAACCCAAGCTTCAAACGCAGGGTTCACGTACTGTGGAATTTTGAAAAAGGAAAAAAAAAGAGGCACTCCAGTGAAACCCAAGTGAAGGTGGAAAAGCTAAGATCTACCACTTACTCTGCTTTATTCCTAAAACAGTGACTTTAGAAACATGTGTGTCCATGCACGCACACCTTACTGAATGTATTCCTCGTGCTGACTCAACAGAACCAGGAAGAAAACATCCACCCACTGTTTTCAAATACAATCCCTCCCACATTCACTCAGAAGGAAGCACTACTAAATTTAACAGAGATAACCCTCATCTCTAACTTAGAGCTGCAGAGCAGGAAGAGCCTCTGTGGATCATGGAGTTCACCTCCTGTCAAGGAGGCACAGGATGGGAGAAATCAAACTCCCAACCTCTGGCTCTGCAGCCAGATGCTGGAATGCCTGAATTATCCACGTTCAGGATGCAGCCTTTCAGTGAAAACCTGATTCAAAAGACATGCCAGCTGTTAGGGGTTTGATTAGATTATCTATTGAGGCGACAGAACCCCCTTTTCTGCCAACTAATCGCAGAGATCTGCTGGTGGAAGACCCAAAAGGCGGAGAAGATAGGGGAGATGTTGGCGAAGGAGCCAAATTACGCTTAATGCAAGCATCCTCTGGTTCAGGGACATGGCCGTTAGGCTGGCCCAAAGTTGAGCCAAAGTAAAGGTGGTACGAAGTAATTTCCAGCATCCTTAGGTTGGGAGGGGTTTCGATTCAGCACTTCAGTTGACCGAAGGCCAACTCACCTGTGTCTCTACCCACCCACCCAAGCTATCTGTTAGGACCTAGATAAAATCCTAGATTCCTGGATCAAGTCAGCCATGGGATGGCCGCATAAAAGGCAAGGATAAAATGCAGGGACATGCAGCAGGCCAAGCTGGCTGAGCTTTTCAATCTTCGGCTAAATACAAAAAGCAGTAAATAACTATCTTGATGGACCCAAGTGCTCTGGCAGTCAGGATTCACTCGTTTAAATCAAAAAGCGCTTCAGCATTTCTCTTACTAGAAGTTTATAGAGGAAAATATGAACCAGGAAGAACAGATTCCAGCGCACGTAAACAGACAAACAAACCCAAACAAGAATACACAAATACATGTCATGAACAAGTGACTCGGAACTGGAACTAAAGCTTACAAAGCAACCGAACAACATTTAAGGCTCATGAAAATAAGCAGAACAAACCTGTATTACATGGTCTTCACTTGTAATCTCAATGGCTTCTTGGCTTTTCTCTAATGCTGTAAATATTGAATTACAAGCCCTGCAAATAAAAAGGAAACAAGGAGGAGATTCATGAGATGGGAGGAACGATGTGCCTTACCTTTCTGGATTGTTTGTTTTTTCTTAAGAACAGGAGCCGTTGGGACCTGCAAACAAAGGTTCAGCATGGAGGGTTCTTGTTTTGGCTGTAGCGCCCTCCCCTCTCAGTACCTTGCCGCAAACTGGAAGAATTTCTCACTCCCAAAAGTTAACAAGTCGCAACTGAGCGACTCCCCTCCCGCTATAACTTAAGGATTTTCCTACTGTATACTGTTATAGCGCTGTGGTACTAATTGAACTGTTGTGGCTGCACCTTACAGACTCCTGGGAGTTATAGCGCTAAGAATTCTCCCTGAAAACTCCCCTGAACTCTAGCAGTCTGCCACCAAACTTCAGATTCCAGGATGCCCATTCAAAGACGCATGACAGCTAAACTTGGATCGAACTACTAAAATAATGTAGCGTAGACACACTACCGAAAGCAGAAAAATGGGGCTTTTTTTGGTTGTTGTTCCAAAGGACCGCAAAGATTTCTTCCGTTTGCTGGTTTGCTGCAATTTCCTGAGCTCAGGATGTTTTTAACATTAAGTGTGTGCCTTTTTTTGTGTGGTTAAGAGAGCTACACGGAATCAATGCAATTCTGGGTGGGAAAGTGTCTCCTTTTTTTTCCTTGATAAATCCGATTCCCCCACCCTCACTGAGTGTTTTCCCTCTCCCTGACATTATTGTGGATTGGTTCAAGGGCAGCATTCTTAGTTTTTAACGGTTCTAATTGCCGTCTGCTTTTAAAATTGTTGGAACCCACCTTGACATTTTGCAATATTTAACAGGCTATAACTATGCTGAAAATAAATGCAATCTGATCGCCGTATTCCAGACCCCCTAAACTTTCCAAAGAGTTTTTGAGTCTCCCACCATTCGCTACACACACTATTAAGGGACAGGTCTCCTGTGGAATCACTTTTGTCTGCACTGGCGAAGGGTCGTGTCTTTCACACCAATGATACCGGGTGAGGGATGGGGGTGGGGGTAAAATTACCTTAATTTAAATTGTGCCTGCACTTCTCCCAATTCCAGCTGGATGAGTTCATTGTAACAGGCCATGATGTTAGAATTTTCTACATATCTCTGTTTAAAGACAATAAGAACAACAAACGTTTCCAAGTGTGAATAAATTGCACCCAGATCCAGAAACACATTTGGGTAACAGCCCGAGAAGGGTGTGGTGGGATGGAGGTTTCCACTCCCCATTTCAGAAAACTGGCAAAATCCTGGGGGTGATTTTCAGATGGCTTCTGTGGCTGAAGGGTGGCAAGCAAGGGACAGAAAGAAGACAAGCATCACTCTTAACAATGCTTCCGTTATGCGTGAACAAAAATGCAACTTAAAAATCTCTGTCAAGATTCCTTCCACCTCATGTCACTTCAGCTAGGATCAGATGCATGATGGATAGAATGACACTACAGAGGTTCTCATAATAGATATGTGTGTGTGTGTGCTGGCACTCAAGCAAATGTTGCTACTGAAAATCCTTAAGAATTTAAAAGCATCTGCTTTTTAAAAGAAAATTACATGATTTATACCTAATGGATCTACAAGAAGATCTCATTACAGTTGTTCCTTAATTTTCTTTATTTCTCCAAACATTGTGATATAATTTTCGGATGAGAAAATGAACCAAAATGCACACAATGTACAAGCTAATATTTTATCTAGACAAAAATACATCTGAAAACGGAAGTACAAATATCATTTGGGAAGAAGGAAACACATTTAAAACTGATATGAATTTTTTGTATGTGCGTGTGTGGTTTCCCCTCCAAATTTCCAACTGAAGGGGAAACAGACAAAGACATACGTGGTCCCAAAATAGAATTATTTCATCTCACAGCATGAAAATATTGCCCCTTTTTTTTGGACTCTGATTCCCAGAATTCCATATCAGCATGGATGCACATATCCTTGGTTGCACCCATTGGCCAAATATGACCGCCGGCCTTCCTTTGCTTGTGATCAAAAGAAAGAGAAACAAGCAGCGGGTTGGACTTGATGGCCTCACAGGCCCCTTCCAACTTCACTACTCTCTGAACTATTTCTGGACTTAGACTGGGAGGCAAAAAGATGAAAAGCAATACACTTACTCTTGTGAAGCCAGCAGAAAGGAAGGGTAATATGGAGGATTCTTCACGATCTGCATGTCTTAAAAAGGAAAAAAAGGGGGGGGGGAAATGGCAAGATGTAGCACATTATAATGACCATCACTCATCAGGAGAAGAAAAACAAGAATAATCCCAAAACTAACTACTTATTGGCACAAATCCCAAACACGATACTCCAATAAACACACACCAGGAGAACACTTCAGAAATTTCTACACCGCTGGAATTCCCTCCCCCCCCCGCCGCCCAGTTGATGCTACTAAGATCTGCAGCCTTTAGCTGCATCTGGGGTTTCAACTTCTAAAGTCCTTTGGCAAAGAGGGGGCCTTGGCTGCAAACTGGGAAGGGTCCCACTGGCCTAAATCCTGCTGGATTCCATGGAAATCGCCATTAAAAACAAAAGAAAAACCCAGCCACCTTAAAAAGGCCTATCCTGCTTCGAAGCTGTAACTCGGTTGCAGTCCAAAAAAGAAAAAAACTAAACTAAACTACAAACATAGTCATGGATCTTCAGACTGCGTGCAAGAAATATGACTTCCATGGCCTTCTGCTTGGAAACAGGCTGGAAGGAAGAGAAAAAATCTGTGGCCTTGACAAACCAGAGAGCTCAGGGAGGGAACCTTCTTTCCAGCTGGCCTGCCGAACTGTCCGTCCTGTTGTGCTCACAGTCAGCACCATGTGCAAGGTAACCTGCATCATCTTCTCCTCCAGAGCGTGATGGAAAATTGATCCTTGCCCACCCCTTTGATTGAGAAACTCTAAGATTCTTGTGAGTCAAGGTGTATTGTACCTTCTGTAATCACTAGCACAAGTACCTATTACAGATATTATATCTGAAAATATATATTAGGTTACAAGCGGTATGAATTGGGTGGTTTAACTAAAGGAAATGTTGCTTCGATCCTGGATCCGGACTCTGTGACAGGGTGTCATGGACTCTGAGCCTAAAAGTAGGAGCCACTGTGGCTTTTTGATTCCCTTCGCCAAATGACCCCCTCCTGTTCTCCAAATTAATGTTTGGCCACGGAAATCGAATCATCAGCTCTATCGCTAGGCCCAAGACGCGGTGGAGACAGGTGGCTTCAATGTGGTAGGAGTGGTGAATCTACTCCAGGGAGCTCTCCAAGGTGCTAAAAACCCTACCCCAATACATTGAGCAAAATGGACGACTTCTTCTCTTTTCCAAATTATTTACCTATTAACTAGAGCCCTAACGGTCACATGGACATGTTTAGGAGCAATGTAGAAAACTAAAGTCCATTATTTTACAGACAAGGGGCTTCCTGCAACCAAGGACTTTGAATTAATCATTTTACACGAGAACATAATGATGGTTTGTCATTTACCTCCGCACGACACCAATAATGACAGTGTTTTCAGATGGTTTTGTTGTTCTAATGGACCTTAGAAACAGAAAAACATCAAAATCATTTAGTAAAATCAAATCAAATTCTTTTTTGAATAAAGAGGACAGTGCTTATATAATTTTCATTCACGGATGCAAAATGTCTTGCTTCTAGGTAAGAGCAGAAAGATCTTAGTTTTCTTTATTTGCAGTGGCATTCACAAAAGAACTGCGTTTTTTGCACTGTGTATTTTATATACAAGGCTTTCTAAGCAAAGTGCAACAGCCAAAATCCTGTTGCGAAGTTATGCCACTGGAAGGGATATGACATAACTCACAGTGGAAAACTGCTGTCAGTTCATGAATTCTCACGTGGTTTCCTGCTTACATGCTGAGCCATCCAACTGGTACGCAATGAGGAATCCAATCAGAGACTCATTTATCAACTGCAATTTGCTCCTGCAAATTATACCACTGCCCTGCTCCCGATGTAACCATGCAACAGGATTTGGGTCAAGGCTTTCTTGTTTCCTGATAAAGTGTTCCCCTCGCCCCACAAAAAAATGCTTTCACTAGCTTTTCGCACAAAAGAGGGCTAAAAGCAAAGAAAAATGCACAAAAACTCTATCTTGTCCAGAGGACAGAAAACATCCAAGAGGAGTTTGCTTTGGAGAAATAAGTAAATATTCCTAATACTATCCAAAAGCAGGGTTTCAAAAATATTCCTCTTGCTTCGCCTCCTCACCATGGGAAGGTTGAGCGAGATAAGTTCAAGGCTTCCTCCCTGCTCTGAAAGATTGCTTTTCCCCCAGACTCAGCCACCAGCCACCAGCCAGGGATCGGGGTGGGTGCTGCAATACTAGATGACTCTGAAGAGAGACAAAGACCTCGCGTTCACTGTCCCTGATGGGCACCGCAAGACCTGGTCACTGGGAGGACCCAAAGGGCAGTCTGTCCTTCCATGAAAGGCACAAGATGGCTCACCTGCACAGCGCTTCTGCATCAAAATGTTTCGAATGTCTGTGATCAATGATGATGATTTCATGGTGCTTATCCAGAAAACACTCGAGAGCAGATTCAGGGGTCCTGGCGATGTTACAGCGAAACCCGGCCTTTTCACAGGCCCAGCAGAATCCGTTGCTCTGGTTGTCTTCTTTGGCAAACACTAGAAGTACCTAGCAGGGAAAGAAGAAAAGGAAAAGTTAGAAACAAGAACGGATTGAAAGAACCCTATCCTGCCAGAGGCGAATAACACTCTCAAGGGGAGGATTAGTCTGTTGCAGTAAAAACACCAGAGAGCTGTGTGTTATGTGAAAGACTAGTAAGTTCTATTTGACATTAAGGTTGGATTTGTTTTTATTCCAGGCCACTGTTCTTCCATGAAGTAGAAGCTCAGTAAGAAGAACTTTATGCACATTTGAGGGTAGGGAGTTTGAGAGAGGGCAAAAGAATGGGCATATAATAAAAAAACATAAAAGGCCCCAGTATTGTTAACCACTGTAAATATGAAGAAAATTCTACAGTCCACCCAAAGGACAAGTCCATCTAAAGAGATGAACACTTGCAGAGCTACGTATATGCTGAGAATCCAACGCACCAATATGTTTCATCATATTTTTCAGATGGTAAAAAATGATTCTTTGTTATAGCACACTATTTTCCTCACCTACGTCTTGCATTTGGCGTGCTTTGCTCTGCCACTGGACAGTTTGCATGGATTTAATTTGCAAGTCTGAGTATTGAAGCATGTATCTCTGAGGAGATACCATTGGGGGAAGGGACATGCATGAATGTTCCTTTGACCTGCCAGCCACTCACCGGCTGTGGCTCTCCCGTTACGATACTTTGGGGGACAGGGAGAAAGAAGAGGACAGCCCAGCGGGAGTATTATTTCTGCAGATTCCCTGGGTTTGGGGGCACCCCAGGGCACCATGACACACAGTTTGGAAACCACGGCATGCATGAGAGGAAGTTCACACTTCATTTTACATCTAGTCCGACCCTTAGCATTAAAGAGTTCTGAGGCCAGGAGCTCAATGTTCTTCCACACAAAAATCTGACCACCCCCATGACTTCTTCATTTCATCATTTTAATTTAATTTCATGTAAAAATAAATCCAGCATTTCTGCCACCTCCTGAACTAAGACACATTTTTTTCTTCTCACTTTCCCCTCCTTTTGTATGTGTGTAAAAACAAAGTTTTTGTTATGATTACCAACTTGGCTTTTTGTACACAGTGATATGAAGTTGTTACAAGAAAGGCCAAATACACTGTTCCTTCCTCAGAGCACCTTGGACAAAATTCAGTTCCCATGGACGAGAAAAAGAGTCATCTCCCATCAGAGGGTGCAGAGAATGGCATTCCTCAAATGACAGCACAGAGCTGGCACCCCCAGCCCACAGGTCTCTCCAAGGCTCAAAATTCAAGAGGGTGGTTGTGTTTCTTAAAGCAGCAAGGGGGTGCATGCCAGCCACCATGACTGGACCCCATGGTGTGGGTCTCTTTGTCATACACAAAATACTGCACTGGGAAAGAAAAGGCTGATTGGATGTGAGGGGTGTGTGTTCTGATTCCCACCCATTCATATTATTCACATGCATCCTCATGTAACGTGAGGGAACACTATGCTAAACCAATTCCCATGAGGCTGGGTAGACCACAGCTATCTACAAGGCAGGACCCTATATTTTCTGAATCTGATTGCTTGGTGATATTATTCTCCCTTGCGTAAAATTTCAATATCTGGCCACTGCATTTAACTCCCCAGGGGCATACTTTGCTTTGGTTAATACTTGTTTGCAATTCCAGGCATTCCAACAGTGCTTACATTTTGGATTAAGGTGGTTGGAATGTCTCTCAATAAATCTCATAATTTGCACCTAACGCACATTTTTACAAGAGAGAAGTGGGAAAGAGGCAGACTTTGGCCTTTTTGAAAACTCTGCTTGCGTTTCTAGCCTCTGCTGGCCGAGAGGACAAAACTCTTTGTCATATGCAAATCCACCCACTGCCCTCTAATCCACTTTTGTACATCCAGCTAGCTGTATCAAAGCTAATTTATGACCAAGAAGAGCATGTTGTAACCCACTAAACCACTGCCTCCTCGCCTCCTCTAGAGAGTCCTGCTTCGCAATCTCTTTTTCTAAAGTTCCTGAATCCTGAATAAGCCACAGAGAGTCAGGAATGGAAGAGATATTGTGATCGGCTAGATGGCAGAGGGTGGGGGTGGAGGGGAGGAAAGAATAAATGTGAAGTTCAAACTCATGAAGTGACCTTCAGAAGCCACTTGAGGGATAAAACACCAGGAAAAACTTGGATAGCTCCGTAAGTTGGAGTACCATCGGGAGTAAAATTCCCCACTAGGCCTTCTAGGAAAAGAGCCAGCCTGGGTAGCCTTGGGCAAGCTGCACATTCCCAGAACACCCCTGGAAGAAGGGAAGAGGGGATCACTTATCTATACCTAGAAAACCTTGGAGAAAAAAACATAACTCAGAACCGACCTAGTGGCCTGTAATTTATCAATTCTTCATTTGTTTATCTACGACTGTGAGCGACGTATGTTGGTGAATGCCAGAAATCACACTGATGCACACACAGAGATGGTTGATTGAGAAACAAAGAGCACAACAGAATGAAATAAGATGGCTTGGTCTCCACAGGCATCAGAATTTAGATGGGCCTCTTAATTTCCTGCAAGGCTTACCTGAAGTTGGTCTTGGCGGAGTTTCATGGGTCCAAACTGAACATCCGTACCCACTGTCTAGGAAGAAGAACAGGACACCTTTAAACAGGGATGTTGGAAAGTCTCTGGATACAAGCCTCAAGTCTGAGCACGAGGTTTTGGTACCAAGTCCTGAGTCGCTATTAAAAACAAGTTTATCCCCCCCCCCTTTGGATACAAGTCTCAAGTCTGAGCCCGAGGTTTTGGTACCAAGTCCTGAGTCCCTATTAAAAACAAGTTTATCCCCCCCCCCCAGATAGAAAGGAGCGGCAGATGCCAGCCCCAGTCATTAAAAAAAAACAAAAACATGTTGCGTCTGAGTCAAATCAGTGCAACTTAAGTCCAATGTGACAGCAAGTCTCCATCCTTGCTTTCAAGCAAATCTGCACTGTGCCGGGAACAGTGTAAGGCGAACACGATTTATCCTGCTTCTTGGGCATGAAAAATGTTTGATTTATCTCCCTGTTAAAGGTATTTGGCAAGGCTGACATGTCAGGCCATCTCAAGGCTGCCTTGGAGGAATACATCGTTGGTCTCGCAATGACGACCGGACAAATCAACTGACTAATTTCTCAGTCATTTCCACTTGCCCAAAGCAAGAAAGGTATTAGTCACATACAAAAGAATAATGTGCCTGACAGGTACCTGCATGTTCGGCAAAGTCGACCATGTGAACCAGAGCTTTCCAAACACTGGCATTCATGAAAAACAGAGAAACGAAGGGGTTGCAAAAGGTGGCATGAACAGCCGTTATTGGCTTACATGGCTCTGAATCTTGTTAGACAAATCTGATGAGATAAGAAGCTGTCTGCCAGAGTTTATAGGAAGCTGCTGAATGGAATTTCTGGAATTAGCAGCAGAGCAGTCTACCTTAGAGTCGGAGGAGGACTTCCGAGTATTTGTGTACTGCTCAACCTCAAATATTCCAAAACGGTGTACGACAACAGAAATATATATAGTCTATACAACAAATAGATACTACAGAACACAACAGAATATTTATGTATGCCATGAACCAAAGTTTAAATTAAAATGTATATGGTTCATTAAATATTTAGCTGTAGCTTAGGATTACTTCTGGGGGAAAAAGATGGGAGGGAGAATGTGAGCTATCTCAACCTTTACTCACTTCAAATTTCCCCACCCTGGCACTTTTTTTAAAAAAAATGTTTCTGTAGGTCTCTTAAACCTAAAAAGCTGTGGTTTAAATCTCTCTACATGCAAACCTCGATGTTCTCTCTAATATACATTTTAATGAAACTGTAAGTCTTTCTATTTATGCCATTAACTGCCCCACAAAGAACAACTCTTTGAATTGCAAGACAAGGAATAAAACCCCTTTTTGGCTCCATTTTAAAACAAAAAAAAATGGAAACTATTTTGGCTCAGCAGTACACAGAAGACTTTAAACACATACACACACACACCACACACACATAATGAGGAGATCCTGATAACTATGAAACTGTGTTTTTAAAAATGTTATTTTTCATAGTGAAACCACACTTCAGGATTGCATTTAATCCTAGGCCATCCAGAACTTCTTCCAGTGAATAATTTTAAAGAGCCAGCAGCTGATCCCGCACGCCACATAAAGGCCTTCGGAAATTACACGGTTCCATTCCCTGCAACTCTCTTGCTCGAAGCTCAGTCCTTAAGACTCTTCAGATGTCCTTCCATTTATTATTCTGGAAATCGCCCATTTAATTTTAAATTTAAATCAAAGCCTCGAAGCAAAAATGAGAGAAGGAAGGGAAAGGCTGGGGGGGGGGAGGACAGAAGACAGCAAAATGTCAAGGGAAAAGTATCCAGAGTCTCAGTGTCCACAATTTTATACTTCAGTCCTAACATGAATTGTTCAGCAGAGAAGAAAAAAAGGGGTGAAGGGGGGAGAGGAAAGAAAAAGAATATGAAAAAAGCAAAAAAGAGGATGGGTGTGAATTCTGCTACCCGGATACATTAAGTAACCCTTAAAAAGGCATTCAGTTTCTTCTGCTTTGTAAAAATTTCTTCTCTACCTGATAGGATCTCAAGGTTCCAACAAGGAACAGAATTGTGCAATATGGTCCCTACGGTTTCTTCCAGCTCTAATATTTTAGTGCCCTGTTGCTGCTTCCAAGTGAAAGCAGACGCAATGAACTTACTGTTGAACAACAATTACGAAAATGCCATTAAAGGTATAGGTCTAACACTAGTTATGGTAAAGGTAAAGGTTCCCCTTGACAATTTTTGTCCAGTCGAGTTCGACTCTAGGGGCGGTGCTCATCCCTGTTTCCAAGCCATAGAGCCAGCGTTTTGTCCGCAGACAATCTTCCATGGTCACATGGTCAGTGCGACTTAGACACGGAACGCTGTTACCTTCCCACCGAGGTGGTCCCTATTTATCTACTTGCATTTGCATGCTTTCGAACCGCTAGGTTGGCGGGAGCTGGGACAAGCGACGGGAGCTCACTCCATCACATGGATTCGATCTTACGACTGCTGGTCTTCTGACCCTGCAGCCCAGGCTTCTGCGGTTTAGCCCGCAGCGCCACCACGTCCCTTAACACTAGTTATGAGTCACAAGCAAATACTAGTCTATGATTCTGAGATGATCCAAAGCCCCATTCCCCACCCCTTGTGGTTCCTGCCCCCCTTTTCATTCTGCATTTTGTCTACAGATGGGCAGGACCTAGGCTGTTTCCAGCCTCACACAATAGATGTAACAAAGACTATTAGTAAAGCTATTCGTTCTCGTCAGTTTAGGCTGCCTCAACAAGACACACCAGCAAGGAATTTTCAAGCCTCCTGAGATTCCTCACCTCCACTTGAGAGTGAGACAAAGAGTTAAATTATTATCATTTTGCCTCACTGAAGTCTTCATAATTTGTGCAAACTCCCTCTGTGGAAAACATCTCTCTAAACTGATATTTTTGCACTTTTGCTTCATTCACACAAGTTGTTCTCATTCATATCTTCTTCTCTTACTGAGACCTCTGCAAAAATAATTCACTGTTTCAAGGAACGAGGGTAATAATTTTTCAGTCCTTCATTCTTGTGTGCAAAGATGATGGATGTGATGATATGCAACCCTCTATTACACAGTAGGAAAAAAAGCTGGGTTTTGAAATACTACTAATACCAATACTAATAATTGGTGTTTATTACAACCGATCCATCCTTGTTCTATATTTTCAGACTGCTTTGTCTCTTTCCTCATTTTCAAATACCTGGAGAGAAATAATTCACTAAGTTAAAGCAGCAGCTACAACAACAACACAGAGGGGCAGAGGGAATCCTCGAATAGGGAAAGCAAAACAAGTGGGACTACTCGGAATCAAAGGGCAAATAAACGAGACACCAACCTGGGATGACCCCCGAATGCAGACTCTTGCTTGTCACTACTGTTGAGTCATCCTGTGCTCCCTCGGCCAGAGCCATCGTGACAGGGGCGAAAAGCAATAAGGGTTGCTTTTTTTCCCACAGAGTCGAAAAGGATCCTGCCCCAAGCCAGCTCACAGGCAAGTCAGCACGTAGAAGGGAGGACAAAGAGGAGGAGGAGGAGGATGGAGAGGTCAAGCTCCCCATGGGGCAGGCGATGCAGGTCACGGCAAAGGATGTGGGAAGGAACCAAAAGGATCCCCCGCTTGTCCCAGAAAAGCTGTTCAGGTGAAGACTGTCCAGAGTTCAAAGGCAAGGCAACCCTGCTCAGTTCTCAGGCTGGGCTGGGAGATTACCAAAAAGGAAAAACTCTCTCCTCCTCCCTTTTGAAGGGGAGCAGGGTGAAAGGCAGCAAAGCAAAACTGCCTTTCCCTTCTGTTGCAATTCCGGCCGGCAGGAGGACATTTCAGGGATGAAGCAGGGAAAGCCAGTCCCCCCCAGCTCCTAGTTGCTTCCATCCCCTAAAAGATGTCAGCTTTGAAGTAACACATCTGTGTCCAATTCCTCTTTTTACCCCCAACTCTCAAAGCCCAACACCTCTTTGCTCTTCTCCTAATCTTTCTAAAATCACAAAAAAATCCCAACGTCTCCCCCAACATGCTGCTGATTATTAGGCTTTCCCGCAAGATTTATCTGTGGTTCAGGACTGATTTGGGTCTTGAAATGGCCACCTGCAGAACACCATCCGGGGTATCCTGCCTCCTAGGGCCACCATGACTCCGGAAAGGGAGTAACCTCTGTTCAGTTCAGCGAAGCCTCTTGAAGCCAGAGGAGGTTGCTTAAGAGGTGCTGGAATCAGGAGGACCCTTCTTCTTGTCCGCCTAAAGCTTTAAAGCCACCATAACAATTTGTGCACAAGCACCACCAACAAAGAGGACTTATTTCTATGGTTTCTGCAGCCATGCACAAAGTACTGTTTAAAGTAACCCAGCAGTTCTGGCTTCTTCTCTTCAAGCATTAGCAACACCAAGAAGATGATGATGAAGAAGATCACAGTTCTCTCAGGTTGATGACTCCTCACCTTGTTTACAATCATGCGTCAGTTACTCGATTAAAGCTGATGGGTTTACAACTTTCCACCTGATACACAGCGGTACAAAAGAAGGGCACGCACCGACTCTTTCGCTCAGGCTCCTTCGGTAATTTAGAGCCTGTAATCAGACACTGGAACACGATGGAAACAAGGTGTTCCCCAGATTGTCCTGCCTCTCGCACAACCAGATTAAAAGGGGACAAAGTTAAGGAGCTCAGACGGAACGTCGTCAGCCGCTGGTTCAAGGTGGGCTTCCAAACACTCAGAACACATTTGCCCTGCTTTTATGGTTATATTCCCCCCAGTATCACAGACCCAATTCTGCACACAAATACTCGCTACACTCAGCTATATTTTTAAAGTGGACAACACCATATCCTTGGTGTGGGTGTTGTTTGATGAAGGGAGAAAGCAGGGAGGCTGAAAGACAAGAGATAGATTCAAGAGTTGAACCCACTGCTGAGGCAGAATCCAGATCTTTTACACAGGCCTGTAAAGCCTCTCCTTTTTTTGGTCAGGATGAAGGCAGACCAGTTCTGGATACTGGAGCAACATGGCACCAACTGGGAAGTTCTCATCTTTTCAT